TTAGCTCTGACGGAGCCGTGCGCGGGTCCGTGCTGACACAAACACGGCCGCGACGGACAAAAGGAGCCGGACCAGCCCTGGGTCGCATGGGGGAGCAGGCGGGCACCACCCGCCCGGCTACACCTGAGACCCTGAAAGCCCTTTAGAGCAGGCGTGAGGCCGAGCTGAGGAGCCACCGTGGCTCCGAGTCACCAGAGAAAAAGTGCCGCGTCCCGGCCGCTGCCGCGGGCTCCGGCCCGACCCGGGGCGGCAGCACCGCGCTCCATCCCACCAGGCCGCGGGCTCCAGCGCCGGCCTGCACACAAGCCGGGCGGGCGAGGCGGACCTAGGGGCTCCCCGGGAGCTGCCCCGAGCTCCGCGCTGTCCGCGGCCGACTGGTCCTTCCCTTACCATAGCAGCAGCGGCAGCGGGATCCGCGCTCAGGCCCTCCGCTGTCTCCGGTTCCCGGGCGGCCCCGCAAGATGGCGGCGTCGCGCCACGTCCGCACCCGGAAGTGCCGTCACGGCGGGGCGGGGCGGGGCGCGGTGGGGCTGGGAACCTCCCAGCCGCCAGGGGGCGTGCGCGGCCGGGCCGCTCTGGCCGGCGGAGCCGAGCGCGGCGGGGCGGAGTCGCCATGGCGACAGCGGCGGCGGCGGCGGCGCGGCGGGACGCGAGGCGGGCGGAGGTGGGACACGGGGAATACGGCGGGACAGAACGGGACACGGGGACGCGGGCGGAGGTTGGGCACGGGACACGGGGGGCGGTGGATGTGGGTGCCGCGCCGCCCCTGACTTCGCCTTGTCGGCGCAGCCCCGCCCGGTGGAGAACCAGCCTTACGACGAGAGCCTGGAGCTGCCTGAGGCTGAACCCGGAGCCGGCTCGCTGCGGGCGGGGAGCGCGGGCCGCCTGCGGGACTCCCGTGGGCCCGGGGTGTCCGTCGGAGCGGCCGAGCGCGGGAGTGGCGATCGGGGCAGCGGAGGGAAGGTAGGAGCGCAGCGGGCGGGGCACGGCCCGGTGGGACTCGGTGATATCCCGTGAGACCCGGTTCTCTCGTCCAGGAGGAGGCAGCGGCACACCTGCCCCGCCCAGCCACCTTCAGCGAGGATGACGACGAGGACGATGAGGACTCGGAGGAAGATTCCTCGGAGAGCGACTCGGAGGAGGACTCGGAGGAGCACGGGGACGGGTTGGAGGGGTCAGCGGTGTTCCTGGCCAGAGGGGCAGGGCTGAGTCTAATGGGTGCCTTTGGCGCCCTGTCGGCTCCACAGGTTTCCCCTGATCCCACGAGGGTGAGCAGAGTCGTGGGCATCGGGACAGGCAGCTCCTGCCTCCTCATCCCTGATGCTCCAGGGTGGTGGTTCCTCCAGGTGGTGAACCAGTCCCGGGCTTGTTTGCTGTGCCCAGCAGAGGCACAGCTGGAATGATCCAAGGTGTAAGCCAGGCCGGGCTGGCAGGAGAAATCCAGAAAAGGGAAGGACTATCTTGAACATGTCACTCAAATCCTCATAATTCTATCTTTTCTGTCTTTTTCAACTTCAAAGCTATTGCTGACTGCCTAATTGCTGTCCTATTGCTGCCTTTGTGCAGAGCTCTTAGCCCCCCTTTTGACAGCCCTATGTGGGACTGAATGATCTCAGATATCCATCACTCGGGTGCTTTTCTTGACCAGCAGGTCGAAAGCAAAACGGGGCCCAATAATGCTTTCTCTCTGCAAGAAGTGTTTTCCAGAGAGGACGTACTACCTGGTGGTTCAGCTTCCCAGATTTGTTTGCCCTAACTGGGACCTGATTTCTGTTGTACAGAACTTGCCACATGGTAATCTTTTCCCTCTACTCTCTTCCTTTTTTAGTGATTTCAGTCCATCAGATTTTGACTACCTGCAAGTGTCTTCTGAAATCAAAGATCTCTTTGAATACATCAAGAGGTGAGTTGAAGGGTTTTAGCTTGCTCCTGGCTCTCCTTTGTGTCAATTACTGCATCACAGCTCCTAGTGGCCCATGCTGTGTTGCTGTTTATTTCCAGGTACACTCCCAAAACAATAGAGATTGAGCACAAGCTGCAACCTTTTATTCCAGACTTTATTCCTGCTGTTGGAGACATCGATGCATTCCTAAAGGTACAGTTTCTTCAGGTTCCTCTTTCTGTCCTGCCCCACGAATCAAAACAATGCAGGGTCAGAGCATGTGGGCAGCCAGACCATGCAGCATGGGATCTGGTCTGTCCCTGCTCTGTCAGACATGACAGGCAGAGACCTGGAAAACTATGCTGGTGGTTTGGTCACCTCTCAAACAGCACTTGGCTAACTTGGGGCAAAGCCTGGGTTTTTCCTTCTCCAACACCAATTTTTCAAGCAGCACCATGCTTAGAATGTATCTCTCCTCTGAGAGAGCCCACAGGAAGGCTCTGTACAAACCTGCCCTGGACTCCACAGACAACAGGGCTCTCTTTTCCTGCAGGTTCCTCGTCCTGATGGCAAGCCTGACAACCTTGGCCTGCTGATTCTGGATGAGCCCTCAACCAAGCAGTCAGATCCCACCGTGCTCTCCCTTTGGCTGACAGAGAACTCCAAGCAGCACAACATCACAGTGAGTCAGGGAGGAGGTCACACTTGCTGCACACATCCTGTAGTAAAACCGTGGCATTTTACTGTTACAACTGAAAACTTGACTTTAAAAGCAGCAAAACCAGACCTTTTGCTTTAATCCATAGTTTTAAACTTCAGTGGATCTGAGCCTTGCTTCAGTCAAGTCTTTGTGATACAAACTCTGGGTCTTTTCACTTCAAGGGATGGTTTATTTTCTTTTGGTTGTTCATACCCAATTTTAGTCAGCATTTTGCCTGCAGAAATCTGTTGGTAAAGTGGAGCTGGGAAAGAGAGAAGGCCTGGTTCACCAGGAGTGAATTCAGTTTTCCCAAAAAGCCTCGAAACACTATGAAACACTTCCATCTTTATATTGTGTTTTTAGCAGCAGATAAAAGTGAAGAGTTTGGAGAATGCAGAAAATAACCCCAAAGCCATTGAGAGCTGGATTGAAAGTATTAGTGAACTGCATCGCTGCAAACCTCCTGCCACAGTCCATTACTCCAGGTGAGCCCTGATGTTGGCAGTGGAAGGCTGTGTGTGATCCTGAAGCTGATGTTCTTCTCTTCCCCGGCAGGCCAATGCCTGACATTGAGACCCTGATGCAGGAATGGTCACCAGAATTCGAGGAGCTGCTGGGAAAGGTATATTGTCTGGGTGACCAGTAGTTAGCTCAGTGCATGCTCTTAGAAACCATCTGCCATGAAAGCTGGGTGCCTGCTCCATCCCACAGTCCAGTCCTCTTGGGCTTGTTCTTCCTCATGACTCTGCCCTTGACAGAAGTTGGGGAGCAGCCTAACACTGGAATTCCCAGGTGCTGCCCCAGTGGCCTCTGGGTGCTGCCAGGCTCCTGCGGCCTGGGAGCAGATCTGACAGCCCCGTCTGTTCCAGGTGGGTCTTCCGAGCGCAGAGATGAGCTGTGACCTTGCTGAATACATCGACATGATCTGCGGTGAGCTGGGGAGGCTCTGCTGCTGGCACAGTGTGGTGCTGGCCTGGCACTCACTGAAAGTGAGAGAGCTTTAGCTGCAGGCCCAGCCCCGAGCAGTTGGGATCATTCCCTGCAGCTTCAGTGGGAGTGGGCTCTTGTACTACAGGGTTCTGCAGTCTTTGGTGTGTGGAGCCCCACTGATGGTGGGCAGTGGGGAGCTCAGCCCTTCCTGACAATGCTCTGTGTGGGGCAGTGCAGACCAAGTGCCCTCACACGCTTCTGATCTCACCTGCAGCCATTCTGGACATCCCCGTGTACAAGAGCCGGATCCACCCTCTGCATGTCCTCTTCTCCCTCTTCTTGGAGTTCAAGAACTCGCAGGTATGCAGCTCCACCCAGCAGTACTGCACATCTGGTCCCTTCACATTTGGCTTTGTGGTGGCAATGGCAGTGTGCAAAGGGCTGGTGGGCCCCAGAGGGTGTGTTCTCAGCTGCTCCTTTGCCTGACACAGGGAGCTGGGCTGCACTCTGGGCTGAGGTGCCATATTGTTTAACAGGCCAACACCAGCCACAGTGCATCTCCTTGGGCTGCCTGCTGAGCACACAAGTCACGCAGAGCCCATGTGGCCAGCACGTTCAGATGCATGTGTGTGCTCTGAGCAGTGGGAGTCAAATCTTTGCATGAACATGTTCTTTTCCCTGCAGCATTTCAAGCCCCTGGCTGATGGGCAGAAGGGCAGGAGCCCACCATCCAACCCACCCTCACAAGCAGCAGAGGCAGAGGTGTTGAGCTTTGATGCTTCACATTAAAGCTTCATCTCCTGGATCACCGTCTGCCACTGGACACTGAGGTGTACCCAGAGCAGGTTGGGGGATGTAACACAGCAATTCAGAAGCCTCTCTGGTCTTAGAGACAGTGCTGGGCTGTTCTGTGTTAGGGAGTAGGTCTTGATTCACCATATTTGTTGCAGAAGCTGCCTAATGGCTCCATTTTTGACTTGTTCCCAAGGAGTTCAGCATTAAATCAGCCTTTCCCAGTGTCAGGCTCTCTGTGCCACAGGTGCTGCAGAGCAGAGGCTCCTTGAGCACATGCTACAAGGGCTGGAGCAAACAGGAATAAATTCCACACAGACACAACACAGATCTGCTTAGGGTGTTGCAAGCTCTGACCTGGAGATCTTGAATCTCCTCTGCTCCTTATTATTGAACCCCCTTTCCTGCTGAGAATAGTCCCTTAGGTCCTGTCAAGCGCAAATAACCTGTGCAGCACCACACAGATGCTTGAATTCAGTTTATTGCTGTTGGGATGGCTCTCCCCAGCCCCTGCTCTGCTGACCTCTCACCTATTGGCCACAGCAGCAGGGACAGGGGCAAAGAGGATCATGCAGCAAGTCAAAAACCTGCTAAAGCAAAACTGTTGTTTGACTTTACTCCAGGAGGAATCGCAATGCTAGAGCCTGGCTGTAAACAGCTTTGATGCATTTTGATTATAACAGAATATTGGTAGGGTTCATGGACTACATAAAACCATGTCTTGGCTGACAGCATAGCTCCCAAGCCCTGCATTGCATAGCATAGCACAGAGCTGAGGCTGGTCAGCTCCTGCTTCCCATCATGGCTTTCCTGGCACCCTCAGCTGCTCAGCTCCAGGTACATACCTGGTGCTGGGCAGCCCTGTCTCACTGGCACCACACCGCAGCTCACAGCCAGATCTCATCACTGCTCATGCTCGGCACTTTGTAGATGCGCCCGGACTTTGGGAGCTGGACAAAACCTGCAGGACAAAGAACTCATTGCCTGTTGGAGCAGCCAAGGAGCTCCATGTCCCACAGCACATCTTTTGGGGCTGCTTATCCACCTGCTCTCCTTACCAAGCTTGCTGAAGACCAGGGAGTTTTCCAGTTCCAGCAGGGCAGTCTCTTCTCCCTTAGCACCAGCTCCTGCATCCTTGGGGGAAGCTGCAGGGAAGCAAAGGGATGAGAGTCAGGACATCTATCACTCACCCAGGCAGGACCTGGGGCCCCACGTCTTACTGCACTGGCACATCAGGGTTTTACCTCCATCTTCCTGTGCAAGATCACCCAGGCGCAGGTTGGGTGGCAGGGACCGGGTCTGGCGGGGCAGACGTGTGCCCTGGGGCTGCGGTGGCTCAGAGCTGCTGCAATGGGAGCATTGGCTGGGTGGGCTGTTCCCTCCTGCTTGCCCGGGACCTTGCACAAGCTTGGGCAAGTGGCATGCCAGGCAGGCAGCACAGGACCCCAGGCTGAGCAGGGCGGCTAGGGCCAGGGCTGCTCCAATGGCAACACCCAGGACAGGCAGCTCCACACGGGCATCCAGCAGACCTGCACCGGCAGTGGAGACCCCTGAGCATCCTTCCATGAGGCCATTGCACCATGCCCACCCCTCAATAGTTACCTGTGGGCAGGAGGGAGGCAGTGGTGATGCCCACACTATTGGCTGCACTGACGGAGAGGTTTCCAGCTGTGCAGCTGAGATGGATGTGGAGCGAGTGGTTGGCCAGCCCTGGGTAGCTTGTGGTACCCAGGAGGAGAAACTTGGAGGTGTTGGCCATCACATGCCCATCCTGGTCCACCCAGGTGATGCTGGTGGGTGGATTGGCTTGCACCAGCACAAAAAGCACCAGGAGAAGGCCAGTGTCCTCGACCTGCTGGTAGCGGGCGCCTTCCCGCAGGATCTCTGGCTTATCTGGGTAAAAAACAGGCAGTGAGCTGGGCAGGAGGGATGAGGGCAACACAGCTAGGAGCAGGATTTGTCTTGCCTGAGTAGACAAGCTCTTGTCTACCTCATTTGCACAAGACTGACAAGATGCTGCCCTACTGTGGCTGTCATGGGTATGGGTTATGGTCCTGCCCGAGCTGGATAGGGGTCCCACATGCCCTTCCCACATCCCGGTCTGGAGCAGGCTGGCACCGCGGACCTTACACTGCACATTGAGAAGGATGGAGGTGTTGTAGGTCTCACTGGAGGTCGGGTTGGTCAGGGAGCAGTTGAGCTGGTGGTCGGAGTGCTGGCCATTGAGGGTGAGGATGCTGTCAGTGCCTGCAGTCGAGAGGTTGACTTCCTGTTTCTGACCGTTGAGGTACCAGGCCAGTGTGGCACCGGGGACTGGCCGGGGAACCCAGCAGGTGAAGATACGACTCTCCCCCTCCTGCAGGGTGCACGCTGCTCGCGGCTGCCCGTCAGTGGTGGGGTCCAGTTCCTCCAGTGCTGCCAGAGAGCCCGCGACACATCAGAGCTGCGGCAGGGGTCCTGCTCCCGGAGTCATGCACCAGACCCCACCACAGCCTCACCTGCCAAGCAGAGCGCCAGGAGGCTGAGCAGCAGCAGCAGCAGGAGGGCAAGGGCAGCCCGCGGCCAGCCCCTAGGACACCCCATCTTATATCAGCCGTGCTCAGCGCTAGGAGAGAGGCAGCTGGAGCAGGGACATGGGGGCATCCAGCACGCTGGGCCCCGGTGTTCCAGCACACAGCAGGGTCGGAAGATGCGACCCAGCTGCACCTTACCTGCAGCATTGCTGCTACTGTGTCCAGCCCAGTCTGCAGTGCGGCTCTGCGCCTGGGCCCCGGCACGCAGGGCAGTGCATGCGGCGCAGGGGCGGGCCCCAGCACAGCTGCGAGCGTTCATCCCTCTCGCCGGGCGCCCGTCGCCGCCTTCCCCGGGCGGGATTGCTGCGCGCAGCCGCGGGGTCAGCCCCGCCGCTTGCGAGAGCGGCCAGGACTGCCCAGCCGGGACAGGGTGTGCGCGTCACCGTGCCTCCACTCTCCCCTCTTCAAGGAAGAGGGCCCAGGCTTGCACCCACCGGGCCACCCATCTCACCGGCGCTGTGCACGCTTGGGAATCACACCACAATGCCTGCAACGTCACAGGCATAGCCCAGGTGCTGGGAACAGAGGGAGGTTTATTCGGGGTGGAGCGGAACGAGACAAACACAGCAAGGTGCTTTGGTACTTTCCAGTCCCTGGCTGTTAGCCAGGAGGAGGAGCAGGAGCTCTGGCACCTGAGCTGGACCTTTTTTGGCCGCCAGGACACGTCTGCCTGGGCCAGCTCAGGAGTACGGCTCTCCCCAGCCCACCCGCTGCCTGGCCCGTCTCCTGCCCGTCTCAGTCGCTTCCAGCGCCATCGGGGTTGCGCAGCTGACCGAGCATCTCGCAGAGCATCTGGTTGCAGAGCGCAGAGTAGGGGTTGAGAAGCACGAGCTGCTGTCGGGCGAAGGCGCTGCCCAAGCGCGCTGCGCGCTCGAAGTCCCGCCGGGCGTCCTCGTCCCGCGCCTGCAGGCGGTGGATGAGGCCGCGCTGCACGAAGCTCTGGCAGGCGGCACGGCCGCAGCCGCGGCTCAGGCGTATGGCAGCGTCCAGGTCCTGCAGGGCACCTGGCAACGAGGGGAGGCATTGATGGGGGGCTGGGGGTACCAGGAGACCACCCGCACCTGCGCTGCTCACCTGCCACGTCCCCGCGCAGGCGGAGGGCCTGGGCCCGGTTATTGTAGCCCGAGGCACGCTCGGGCAGCAGGCGAATGGCCTCACTGAACCGCTCCAGGGCCGTGCTTACGTCTCCTGACTCGGCCGCAGAAACCCCCTGCAGCTCCAGCTCCCGGACTTGATCCAGCAGCTCCAATGGAAAAGCTTCCACTATTGCAGTGTAAATGGGAGACCTTGACTTGGGAGTGGAGGCACCAGGACGAACCACAGGGCCCAGTCCCACTGCCACCCTACACTCCCTGTCCAGGAAGGGAAAAGACAAAAGGCAGGGTGCTGATGTCCAGCCTCAGCAGGCACTGCTCCCAGCCTGCAGAGCCTCCTTCCCTACCCACCTGCTTGCCCCATGGGGACCCTGCTGGCAATTCCAGGGAGAACCTGGCGCAGCATCACTCACCTTCATCCTGGACATCCTCCTCCTCCTCATCCAACCCTGGGATATCCCCAAAAGGGGTGCTGGGGTTAAAGATGGTCTGCAGGACAGCCCTGTCGTTTGCCGTGGCCATGCTGCTGTGTCACTGAGGCCTGTGACAAGGCTGCAGGCACAAGCAGGCTGCCACAGCCTGGTTAATGTTCACACTGCTGGCCCCACTGCACCGTGCCTCGTCCTGTCACAGCCTGGGTGTGAGGCCCCACCGCCTGGCCAGTGGCCCCCAACAGTGGCCCGGGGTGACCCGCACACACTGGAGCTGAGGGCTCCTCACTGAACACTCTGTGCAATCCTGGGTGCTGGCCAGGGGCTCCTATGCCTTGTGAGTGTCCTGGAGAAGTAGCAGCTCCTCAGTTCTCAAGAAGAAATAGAGAGAGCCCTCTGCAGCAATAAACTTGACATGTTTATTAATTAAACTATCACTTAAATAAAAAAAAGTGCATAGAAAATAAACATGTTTAAAAACTCCTTTTTTTTGTTTTTTTTACAACTATGTACACTTTTTATTTTTACATTCAGTCTTTTGCAGAGCTTTCAGCATTTTTTAAACTATTAAAGTATTTCCTTCTTCCCTGTGGCAGGGAGTTAACACTGATGTACTTTAGACACGTTTCCTCTTAAAAAAAACCAAACAACCAAACAAAAAACCAAAACCAAAAACCCAAAAAAACAAAGAACCAGTAGATTGGAAGAACACAAGAAAAAATAAGTTTTGTTATACATGATAAGTTGTCAAGAAATGTATTTCTAGAACATAACCTTGCCTTTGCAGAGTTTTTTTTTTTTTTTGCCTTTTTTTTTTTTTTTTTGAAACAATTATTCACCTACCTGTAGTTACTAAAGAGACTGTAAGTTCAAGAAAAGAAACACCACAAGTATAGTTCTCGGCTGATAGACGAAGCTACTGTACCTTGTTAAAAAGATACCAGGAAAGCACAGAGCACATTTTTCCCTATATGTAGGTGGTACCCCAACATTCATAACCAAAACGAGAGGAAGGAAAGGAAGAAACCAAGTTGTACAAGTACTGACTGTAACAAGAAGGGCCAGGAAAGGCCGAGCCACCCGCTCCCAGCTTCCGGCCCTGGCTGCCGGTGGGGAATGAGCAGCAAGGCTTTCCCAGAGCCATGAGCAACTGTAACACAATCCTTATCTATAGTGTTAAAGAGAATTAAAAGCCATGAACTGATACTGAACTAGGCTTCATTACACGGTGCATTACTATATTAGTTCCTATATATATTGTATTTATAGTTATAAAAAAATTTGCAAGTGTTGAGAGTGGACCAGTGTATGGGTGAATGGCATGATTCTGCACAGACCGTCCTGCTGAAGAACTTGGTATTGCTTTGAAATGAAAGAAAATCAGAAAGAAAAGATACCCAGCCCTTTGCAATGACCCGCTTCTCCTTTAAAAAAAACATGTCGGTTTGTACAAAAAAAACCCCAAAAACGCCCTAAGGTTCCTTTTTTAGTATTTTCAGATACCATGATCTGTGTCAGTCCTTATAAAATATACATTCATACACGGGGAGCTGGGCGCTCCTGGCCAGCCCGGGCTGAGGGTGGGCGGGCTCAGCTGCCCTGGTTGCCCCAGCCCTGCTGCCACTTGCCCCAGGGGCCCGGGCTGGCCACGGCGGGTGCAGCTCCCTGGGGGTACAGACAGTTTCACTGGCCACAGCGGCTCCTGCCGAGGCAGCCGCAACGGGAATAGCAGCAAAGCGGGCAGCCCGCTGGCTCGGCTGGTCCCGGCAGGAGGAGGTTGCCTGGCACTTGGATCTTGGGGGACTCCTGAGGGACAGCGCTCCCCTCGACCCTCCTTCCCACTTCTCCCGATGTGGGGTGGCTCTGGGCAGTGCTTCCCAGTGGAACCTCCTCCTGCAGCCAGGAAATCGGGAGGCGGCAGCAGCGGGGGAGTGAGAAAGCGTAGCTGAGCTCTGGGATAAATTCAGGGGCTTTGCCATGGCGAGGGCTATGCCCCCACCCCGTGTCAGAAACGGAAGGAAAAGGGCCAAGAGCAGCTGCGCCCGGGGCCGCGGGGCCCAGATCCCCTGGGTGGGCACTCTCTGGGCTCCTCAAAGTATGTGCGTTCCCAAACTGTCAGTGCATCAAATCATCTCAGTAACAAACACAGCGTCAATGTGACTTTGCTTTCAACAGTTACCAACAAATTATCCTCACACAGTGCAATAACAAAAGGAAATCGGCAGGTTCTGAACCTCTGAACGCTGCTTTTCTTCCTCAGGGCAGAGGAAGAAATCTCAAGACCAGAGAGGTGTGGATGAGGGATGCCCCTATGAGAGACCTGAGGAGTCAGCAGGCACTCCCGGGTCCCTTCCCCACCAACTGCCAGTGCCGGTTCAGAGCAGCCATATATCAGCTCCGGGAAGAGTGGCTCCTGTAACGACTGCAACCCAACCACCAGGAAAGCTTGGAAAAGCGAGGGTGCTTTCTGCTTTCCCTTCTGCGCAGAAAAACCCATCTGCCTTTGAAGGACACTGTGGCAGGAGGTGTGTGTCTCAGACTGGCCTCCCAGCAAATAGATCAGGTCTCATCCTGTCTTGCTTTTCCTTTTTAAACCCCTGCAGGATACCAGCGTGGGCAAGGCAGAATGAAACTTTCTGCCTGAGTCACACACTGTCCCTCCCACAGAGCCAAACTCATACCATGCTGGGCAGCTCTCCCTCCTGCACCCGTCCTTATGGGCAAACAAAATTTAAGGTCCAGTCAACCCTCCCGGAGACAGTTACTGAAGTCAAAAAGGCAGAACAAGAGTAGAAAACAAAACTAAAGCAACCCCCCCACTGGAGAAAGGCTCAGACTGTGTCCAGCCAGGTATTTCCTAGAACCGTCCTATGAAAATAAAAAAATCATTAAAAAGAGATTCTCTTAAATTAGGATAATACCACTGTAAAAAGCCTCGTCATAAGTGCTTTCCCCTATGAAGTGCTTCTCATAGAAAAATATACAAAATATATTTACATTTATAAAACCTTAAATACTAAACTGTAAACAGAACAGAGCAGAATCCAATGTTGTCACTATCAGGCTTGGGTCTCTCATTTGTCTCTCTCTCTGGTTTTGCTCTGAGGCACAGGGCAGACCCCATGGGGAGGAGGACTCACTGCTCCAACCAGGACAGTGGTGTCTCTCAGCTTGCTCAGACCTGGCCTGGTTCCTCACCCACTGTGCCAATGCCTCACGTTTCCTATGTGGTTCGGGATGCTGCGCGGACGAGGCCGGCTGATGCTTGGCCTTGCCTTTGCAGAGAACTTTGGCTCCGTTTTGGTGCCCTTGCTGTGTCTTCTGGGGAACACAACATGACTACAGCCAGACTGACCGTGACAGGCACCTGGCTGCAGGGTCACTCTCCTGCCTGCCCCCACAGGCCTGGGACACTGTGGCATGGCACAGCAGAGTGGATGCCTCCACACCAGTCCTTCCTAGCTCCTGCTCTACAATAGTGTGCGGCCAAGGCCGGGGCTGGCTCGCACTCCCCTCCTCTCTCTAGAGCCCTCGGCTCCTTCAGACACCGCTGGCCAGCTGTGCCAGCCGCTCACAAGACAGAGGAAGCCAGCTGCTGCAGATGGGACCCAGAGGACCACTTCCCTCCCACATGGCCGTGAAGAGAGAGTCTTGGTGAACGGGAGCCTTTGCTGGCAAAGATCCACAGTGTCCCAACTGTTGGCATAAGCTGTCTTTGCCAAAGAATGCCAGGAGTTCCCCTGCTCTCAAGCAGGGATTTCAGAGCAAGATGTCAGCCAAACTCTTCTTGTGTCAAGTTGTGGGCTGCTCTGTTCTGCTCTCCTCACGAGCAGCCAGGCCAGCCCCCCCCGTGCCACAGAGCCCTGCACAGGCAGCACACCCACTCCCACTCACACATAGTGTTTTGCAGACTGTGCAGTCCCAGGGGGCTGCTGGTGAGACACAGCCCTTCTCCCCAGGAGGCAAGCTCAAATACTGCGCTACCCAACCACTGGCTCAGCCCTAGGAAGGAGAGCTCTGGCCAGGAGACAGAGAGGGACACGACCCATGAGTGCTGCCCTGTGCCTGGGCCTGGGGTGACCTCCCCTCTCCTCTCCCACTCATTAGCCCCACGCTGAGAAACAAATATGGGGGCGGGGGGAAATGAGAATAGCAAAAACATAACCATGCTGAGGATCTTCTCCAGCCGCCCATGTCTCTCACAAGGGTGAGTGTGCACATGCGAGACATGAAGATGTGGACTCGGACAAACACAGCCGCCAGTCTCAGGTCCCTGAGCCCAGTCCATCTTCACTCCTGCTTCCGGACTCTTTGTCCCATCCGAGTGGCCAGGGAGGGGCTCACTCGAAGCTTTGGTTCACCCCAGGCCTTGCAGGGCTCACTTGCAGCTGATGGAAGTTCTAGTTTAAAAACTTCCTGCACTTCTTGGCACCACAGTTACAGGGCAGTTTGTTGCTGGCGTCTTCAATGGGGAACTTATAGTCATAGGTGAGCTCTTCCCCTCGGTAGATTTTGCGCATGGCAAAGATGACAATGTGTTTCTGGCCATCGATGTTGATGACCCGGGAGTAGCAGTTGGGCTCGCAGGAGTGGTTGATGAAGCGGGCTGCGTTCCCGTGCATGGTGGCGTCCACCACCTCGGAGTCATCAATGCGGAACATGTAGCACCCGATGCCCTGCTCAGGGAGGACAGAGGAGGATTAGCGCAGGCAGGGCAGCACAGCCACCCCAGCAGACAGCCCAGCTCTGAGGGAGTGGCTGCAGCCTCTTTCCACTGGGCCTCACACACTCCCTCCTGCCTGAATCATTTCATCCCCACATTCACAGAGACTAATCTTGAGACCCTGCCCAGACCACAGAAGGGAATGACAAGTGCATATAAAGCTCCAGCAAGAATGAAAATAACCCAAGAAGCCAGTAAACACAATCTGAGATGATCCCAACAGAATTTTTTAATGGGCCTGTCCTACCTTCACAGCCACTTTCTAGCTCTCCCAAACTCTAAGAACATCTATAAAAGCCCAAAACTCACCTTACTGTCGTAGTACTTCTCTCGTTTGTCAGTGAGGATGGAGCGAATGACATTGCCTGAATATTCGATCACCATCTCACCTGCATCGATGTTCCTTTTGCAGAACAGACCCCGGCCATGGATAGGAGACCT